CAGCGGAGATGTAATTATTCTGCAGACGCCAAAGCTCGAACCTGCAACCCTCCAATTCCAGAAGCCCAACCCAATAGACTACATATCGCTGTCCATATAGGTCTGCCTTGTATGTCATGTACTTAACTACATTTACAAACATACTAATAGTACATTTCAGGAAGTCATATTTCAGTTTCAGTGCTGCAAATGTTCTTTTTTTGTTCTTTTTTGAAAAACCATTCTCATATATTAGGATTACAAAAGACATGCATTATGTTATATGACGTTCCGCAGCACAAGTGAAAGTCACCTTCTTGAGGCATTGTGAAATGTACTCTTAAATGTACTGAAATGTTCCCTCAACCAGAAGCACTCGAATAGCAAAGTATGACTTTCAAGCCCGGCATGTACTCCCAAAAGCAAACCAAAGCAAATCTAGTGTAAGGAGAATTTTCTGTCATTCACTGCAGCCCATATGTCCTGTGTTGTCATTCCACATAGACCAAAGGGCTGTGACCCTTATCATCCCCCTAGCAGAAAGAACCCACTACTTTAATTTTCACTATGTTCACAACATTGAGGTATAATTAAAAAAAACCCACTGGCAACCTATATTTACACTGTTCTGGATGTATCACTCTAACTTTGTTCTAACAAAGCCAAGGAATTACTTTATAATGTGAAATTACAGTGACATTCATGGAGCAGAAGACTAATTTAACCTAACAAAGAATTGGTGAGAAGGTTTATTTTTTTGTAAGGCAAGATTTTCTTTTTGTATATTTGTGTATATATAGATACAATTCTAAATTGTGTTAGTTCTGCAGGAATTAGCAAATAGATTAAGTTTCACCATGAAGTTTATATGAGAGAGCATCTTTTTATATATGGTTTTTGCACATCTGATGTTGCCACTATATTTGGGAAGCTGGGATGAAATTATGTGTGTACAGTAAAAGGAAGCACAGCCTAACTCTGGATTTTATGCACAGTGCAAAATATAGCAGCGAGGAAAAGCAAGCTAACTTGGTCATAATTTTATGTCAACAAATGGAAAATGATGCAACACTGCTGAAGGAGCATTTTTAAGGTCAGGCCAACAGTTATACAAGCCAAGCAATTTTCCCTTTCCTTTCCCTCTAAGTAACGACCGTGGTTGTAGGAATCCTACAAGAGGAATGTGAAATTTGATAAAACAGTGCAGAGGCTCCAAGTGTATGGTTTGGTTTCAGTTTTAGTGGTTTGGTCTCCACAGACGGGTGGTTATGATTTCCAATCGCTGCTTTGCTGCACCGGGAATCCGGAATGCCCTGTTCCCTTATGGAATTCATCACATTCCCGACACGCCTGCCCCCCCCTCATGCCAGTGCATCTTACTACATCAGCCGAGGGGCTCGGCCAGCCGCGCCCGCCAGTAGTGCACCCGGCGCCGTGATACCGCGGCGTGACGCGCCAAAAAGGATGCCCGAGAGGAGGCCATGTGGAACATAATCGCGCGGCAGAACCGGCGTCCTCCTGCGCCAGGAACGCAGGGGCCGGGATGTGGAAAAACACATTCCGGCTGAGATGGGGAGTGAGGAGGTGGTGGGGGGGACCGCTCTACCTCAGCCAGTCGACATTTCCAACCCTGTATCCCACACAGGCGAGACTTAACCCCCTGTGTGTATGTCAGTTGCTGCTGTGGCGGCCCAGAGGGCTGTAAAGAGGCCCAGTTGAGAGGCGCAGTACCGCTGTCCCGACCAAACGCCGGTCACCTCAGCACCAGAACATAGTCACTCCTTAGCACTGCGTTTTGGGGACTGCGTCTCAGCAATGCAAGTCTATGGATGATTTTCAAATTGGCGAATTGTTGGTATGTGATTACAAAGCGACATATGACACACACAATAGTGCACACATTAGTGCACTTATTAGTATACACTTATTAGTGTGCACTTATTAAAGTGACAAGGATGCATAAAACTTAACACACGACACACAGGAGTGACCCTCTGATGCACACTTCTCAGACGGTACACATTTTACTAGCCCAGACGTAAATACAGCAAAGGAAGGAAACGCCCACCCCCACTCCCAACCCCCACCCCGGGTGCCTGTTTCCAAGCAACATAAGCGGATGTCTGTACAGTTGGCCCATCAGACCATATGGCTCCATGCGGGGATGGTTTACAGCTGCCAAGCTAAAACACGTAGCTTGCAGACTCCACTGTGACGTTTGTCAGCAAACTCTGCTGTGGGGATTCATTCTCTAACCGCAATTAGCAGGGAATATAACTAAGGGACTCTGGCTGTAATATAACTCCCCATCGAAAAAGCAGGAATCTTTGATGATATCTGCCTCTATTCCCAAATAGGTGTGTCTGAGACCTGCCTAAGAGGTCTAATTTGTAATGCAAGCCTTGAAGAGGTATCTATGGCTTACTGAAACAATGGCAAAGGTAACCAAACAAGTCCTTTGAGTGTCAGCTCTCCTTGCTTGTTTCTGTGTGAACTTCAGTGAGGAACACGAATCTTGCCTAGGGAAAACCTAGGCTGGTGTGAGCTGACTAAAAATCACAGGAATGTAGCTGTAGGAGCCACGCTGGGAATGGTGCCAGGGTTTTTTTTTTTTTTGGGGGTGGGGGGGGGTAGCTGAAAATCTGCAGCACAAGGAAATCAGGCGAGCTTGTCACCTGAGAGCACATTAGCGTAGGTATGTAAGTGTGCGTAGGTGCATGCATGCGTCTGGGTGCGGATGGGCCCATCTGCACACAGGAAGAGCCATCCTCAAGGAGGGACATCTACTAAGAACAAGAGATCCCCATCTAAGGATCTCTCATCGGTGGTTTCATGTGGCTGGTGTTCATTCCCTGGTTCTGGGGCATATTTCTATTCCATATCATCTCTGAGGACATTCTAAAATCTGGGCTCCCTTTGATCTGCCTACTCAATTATCTCAGTATCCAGCTGGCTTCACGCCTAAATAAAAAAAAATAATAAAAATTGGTCTAACTCGGAATTCGGTGCGGTGGCCAAGATTTTACAAGGAGAGCCAGCCTTGGCGTGTTTTCGGGTGAAATTTAAATTAGCCTAGCACTACATGCAAAATGTTCTCCTGCATTAACTGAGCGGTACCCTTCACAGGAACGTAACGAGGTGTTAACCCGTCGCTGTCCTACACAGAAGAGGGAGACCAGGGGCAGGTGGTGTTTGTGCCGTCTTCAGGCGATACCTACATTTCACACTTTTGTTTCACTTCGGCTTGTGTTCAGACCCAAGGGCTCCTGCTTCTGTCATTTAAGGATACACAATGAAGATCATCCGTCCATTGATTCATCTTCTGCACCACTTATCTAGGACATTGTCACGGTGAGCCTGCAGCCTATTCCTGGAATCAAAGGATGGAAGACACCCTGTAATGAATGCCAGTCTTATTAAGATTGCTGGATTCTTAAATACGTAGCTCATGTTATTGTTTTCAAATCCATCAATCTTTATAGAAGGAGACATTGCAGTCGGTATTGAACCTGACACCCAATGGACCCTGTTTCATCAAATCTAATGGAATAAATACCAGTTTTTGCTCAACCAACCTAAAACCAAAACATGCATAGTCACCTTCCAAAAATAAACAAAATTTAGAGGCATGTTTCATTCAAAGGCTCTATGTGAGATGCATGAAACTCTGCACAGCGACCCAGCCTTTTTTAAGCAGGTTCTTCTCGTTTGTGGCCGGAGGCGACGGAGGCTGCTGAGATAAAATCTTATTATATGGTAACAGCTCATCTGAATGCAGTACAGCTCGCGCCTTTGTTATCAAAGGCAATCTCTCAGTGATCGGAGTCACGCATTAGTGATCTTCTCTCCCTGGAGGGTTTTGGTGAAATGATAGGAGGTAAATATTTATTAGCTCCAACAGGATTAGGACAGAAAGATACTGAGGCTAGCTGTGAAGATTGCGATAATTTGGGAACGTGCGTACATATACACTGGCATTCTATCCAGGGCATTTCTCCATCTTGCCATGTACTATCTGGCATAGACTCTAAGCTTAACGTGATCTTATACTACTTTGGTGGTTATGGAAGATGGATGGGTAGCTGGGTGGATGTACACATACTGTACTAGTCAAGTTTGGACACACCAAGCCGCCTAAAAGGAGAGTAATAGGGTCACATCACATGACCTGGCCACCTGACCTAAAGATAGTAGGAATAGTTATGGAGTAGTTTGACCAGAGAGTGATGGAAAAGCAGCCAATGAGAGCTCAGCATATGTGGGACCTTCTTCAGGACAGCTGGAAGAGCATCCCAGGAGGCCACCTCATGGAACTGCAGTAGAGGAGACAGTCAGCCAGTCCATGGAGCAACTGGGGTTAAGGACCACGTTCAAGGGCCCAGTGGAAGGATCACTCTGCCGACAACGGGATTAGAACCAGTGACTTTCTGAGTCCCAACCCACAGTTTATTGAGACAAGGGTAGAGGGTGCTTTCTGGTGAAAGACTGTCTACATGGATCCCGGACCCTCACTGATTATAAACACAGTTTTAGCTCTTAAGTGCAGAGTTTTGGGACTCTGATGTACAGTCTTTACTTATGTCTTCTTATTTTTTTTTTAAACTGCGGCTAACCGTCTTTAATGCATGTGGAAATTTTATTTTTAGAAATGGAAATGTCACACTAGATAGAATTTAAGTGTCATGCCTGTCCAAGAAAGTACTTGTGCGGAACCAACAGAGACACAAAAATTCCTACACTCCGAAGGCCTTATTTATGACGAAAGACCAGCAGAACAGACACAACTGTCATAATCTTCTCAAGTTTCTTAAATATATTGGTGCTACCAAAATTAAACCTACAGGCCTATACACTATAGAAGAAGCAATTAATAGACTATTCCTCTTGTATGTTGTGGTACATCAAACAAAAATTCTGGATGTTATACATCACCATCATTTAAGGTGACATGTCATTAAACCCACTATATGCATTGTCGGGATGAAGCTTTCTTCCAAACTAGCACTAAGAGCAAATTATTATTATTATTAATATTTTAATATTTTAACAGGTTAAAAGAGCCACATGGAATACATTGGCTGACTTTTATTATTTGCAATATTTTATATTGAATATTTTAATTACACATTATTTTAATTACTGGTAAAAAAAATTGACAAAGTTATATTGTGAACAAACAGCTGGAAACCAGCATTAACAACAATGCAATTAATGAATGCATATTGTAATGTCTATGACGATCTATCGTGTTACCTGTTTGTTGACATATAGTAAGAAGTAATGCTATTAGTGAACAGTGTGGTGTCTTTTAATCATCTTCAGCTCCTCCAGATTGGCCTTCACAGTGAGACGCCCTCCGGAAGCCTCGTAGACAACCTGCAAAGCTAAGCTGGGAAGCTACTGCCGTCCTGAATTATCTCTGAGCTTGACTGCACTTAGCAAATTGCCATTAAGCTAATATATGTTCTGCAGTGTCCAAAGCTCCCAAATGCAATCTGAATGTGTCCAACTGACTGCTGTTTTCACAATAAAAATTGAGCGACAGCCAGTTCCATAACTTCTTTGTCGTTGCCAATCAGTGTAGTCATTTGTGTGTTAGGGTATTTCATACATCTGTCTTTAAATCACATGTTATATATGAACCCAAAAGCACATGTATACTATAAGCAGAGTTGGGTAATTCCGGTCCAGAGAGTAAAAGTTGAGACTAAACGTTTGGGACTATAACTCTCTGGACCTGAATCAACTCTGACCCCAGGTATATCACGTGATTATGTCACTGATTTGACGGCCTTAGTTAGAAGCACTTGTCACTTTATTTACTGACCTGAATGTTAAATGAATGTGAAAAAAATCAGTAAATGGAAATACAAATGTGCGATATTGGGTGGTAAATATTTATGTGGTCAGGTATGTTAAGTATCCAGTTTCTTTAATTTAAGGCTGGAACAATTCCTGGTGCTTTGTGTTTAAGTGCACATAGTAACATTTGAAACACATGGTCACACTGTTACCCCTATAAAACAGCGTGCCAGTGGAGTATAAGAAGGTATAAATAACAATGGAAAGACAATATAAAAACAAGGAAAGGTGAAGGAAGCTGATCCAGGACTCCAGGCTACGCAGAGCGATTTGAACCTTGAGGAGGACACAGTAGACGGATGGATAACCCAGAATCTGCAGCCAATGTAGCAGGAAATTAGCTTGAAGTTGGAGCCGGTAACTGCTTTGCATAACCTGCAATTAAGAGAGAGGAAGGTTAGCCATCAATCTTTCGGTACAGTAAATAGCTATGCGTCATTCATTTTACATTTTTTAAAGATATACATTAGTCTTTCCTGGCTTAATTACCAATTCTTCCATTAGACATACCAATGCTACTACCATTGCTAGTAATAGTAATCATCATCATCATCATTATCTCCATCATCATCGCTTTTATCGGTATATGCACATACAATGAAATTGAGGGCCACAGCTATTATATTCATATGCTGAGTGAAAATATTACTTGTATCTTTTCTTGTCGGTATATGTTTTTTTACTTTCTGGTTGCATGGCGTATGATTCATAGTGAGGCAGAACAAATGGCTGTTTGATGTAATTTACTCGACCAGAGAGAGATTGCTTTATTCCGGTAAAAGCACTTTGAAGAGCTTTTTTTTTTTTCTGGACATGAATATTACTCATCACTGCTGTCTGTTCCCCTACTTTCCCTGACAAACAAATTTGCTGTAAGAGTTCTTGCCAGTTCTTGGGTAAATAAAATGACACAGTTTGGGTGGTGAGAATTAGCAGAGAGTCACTCCAGTCGTTATATTCAGTAAGTCAGTCAGAAGTGTTCCTATTCTGAAACGCCACCAGTCACAGGGAAAGTACGTATCTTACTCAATATTTGTCAGATTGTTAAGGATTTTAGTGATGTTGGTTCCGTCGGTTGGTTCTTACTTTTAGCTGTTTGAGCTGGTTGAGGGGACAGGGCAGATAGGAGTGATGAAGTGTCCCTTTCTGGCTGCAACATCCTCCCTTGTCAAGCATAGGTAGGTTTCCCACACTGTGATTCTTACTGGAAACCTGCCTGCTTTAATCTAACCATGTCTTATGGAGCTCCAGTGAAGTTTTGCACCTTTATTGTCAGGCCAGCCATATAGAGTAACATAGTGGCATGAAATAATGTTCCTCAGGGGGAAGGGGCCCAGGAAATAGACACGAACAGAGCACCTAAAAATAAAAAATAACAAGATATTACCAAATTCTCAAATAATGTAACTGTAGACATTACTGGAATGTATAGAATTTAGGCAATGATGGAAGCAACAGACCACATAAAGTGCTGCCCTCAATACATGTCTCATTATTATTATTATTATTATTATTATTATTATTATTATTATTATTAGTGCAGGAGTAGGTGGCCCTGATCCTGGAGATCAGTACTTAGCAGGTTTTCCATCCTACCTGGTCTGTGATGAACCACAACTGACCTCAGGCAGGCAGTAACTCATCAGGTAGGATGGAAAACCTGCTGGACACCGACACTGCAGGATCAGGGCCGCCTACCCCTGCACTAGCGTAATAAATCTTCACGGGGTGCTCATTCCCCTGATAATCCTCTGCAGAAGGGGCACCAGGCCAGCTGATAGGAACATCCCCTTTTTTTCCCGTCCCATCCTGGAGCACGTCTGCTATGTTGAAGCTGCTTGGTCACGCACAGGATAAAGTCGACCGTCCCGAATTACAGTTCAGGAGGCCAGATCGTTTCCTGAGTGCCGCAAACTGGCTCAATCCTTAGAACTCAGTTGTGGGAGCTCACGCTTGGCATGGTGTAGTCATGGAAAGGTGGACGACTTAAAATAGCTGAGGACAGAGGCGATTGTTTTTGTAAGGCAACACCATACCTTGCAATGCTCTTGCTGGGTCAAATGCGAGTGAAATTTCTCTGTCTTGTGAAGGTGTTTCTGATCTGTAAAATATCTCATCATTTTTACTGCACTTCCATTTGCAATTTAAGGTCAAATGATTTGAAAGGACAAGGAGGAGGTAGCATGGTGATGCAGTGGTTAGCACTGTTACCTCACGCCTCCGGGACCCGGGTTCGAGTGTCCACCATGGCTCCATGTGTGTGGACTTTGCACATTCTCCTCGTGTTGTTGTGGGGTTTCTACCAGTTACTCTGGTTCCCCCACACAGTCCAGGTTTATTGGAATTACCACACCGCCCATAGGTGTGAATGGTGTGTGAGTGTGCCCTGTGATGGATTGGCATCTCGTCCTGGATTGTTCCCCGCCTTGCACCTGTAGGCTCTGGAACCCCTGCAACCCTGAATAGGACAAGTGGATGCAGAGAATGGGTGGATGGATGGATTACAAGCAAGAAGACTATTCAGCAAATTGGCTTCGTTTATGTCGTCTCCAGATTTTCACAAATCCTTTTTTCCTGCTGCTAGTTTCCCTGTCTATTCCAAAGACCTCTCAGTCCTTCATTTTTTTGCACGTCAAACTGTGTCAATTCCACAGCCATGCAGGAATTAAACACTGCAGCCCGCATTTGTGCAGCAGGGAAGGAGTCGCATTTTCAGACTGCCAAGCCGATATTTTAATTCTGTGCAGGCCATCTGGATCCGCATGCCTCATTTTTCTTGGTGGGGGTGGGGGGAGGGTAATTAGCTGCACATAATTCTCACTCTGGGCTGCTGCTCTTTTTTCCTAGTGAAACCGTAACCAGCCGCGTGTTTTATGACACCAAGCCTCAACCAGTCATCCATCTTTGTGGTGTCTAACCTGAAGCCGCCGGCTGGTCCACCATAGCTAATATATACTGACCAACAGTGAGCATTCACAGAGAGCGCTGCCATTCTTCGGCTCCTGTTTCATGCTGCCTTTAGATTAAATCGTTTATGTTGCCATATCCCTGATATTTCATGACAAGCAACCAGCTTTGAAGTAATGAGTAAAAATGTTGTAATTAATCAACTGAGGGCAATCTCTGTCTTTCAAGGAAAGACGTTTAATAAAAATTTGGGATATATGTGTAATTTTTAGCAGCCCTCAACCAGTACCACGAAGGGACCGCCATCGTCTCCGTACACGGACAAACGTGTCTATGGGAAGATTTATCTGTAGTCATAGTAAAACAAAAACAACGTAGGCTAGGTTTCTAAATACCACGTTTGGTAAAAAAAAACACTTCGTTCACAATGTCGGAATTGGATTTGGTGCTGAGCCCTGGTACTAAGCACCTGGCCATAGGACAACTACTGGTTTGTACCTCACATATAACGGGGGACACACTTGGTGCTGCATTAGAGCTTTACAGGGCATCTAATCAATCACCAGGTCCTTATGTGACAAGGTGACTTGAGACTTGTCACTTAATGTGACTGAATTTCCCTCCCCAGCTAACTCAAACACTCAAGTCCGTTTCTGCAGAAGCTAATGACTGCATTAAACACAGAAAACCATAATGATTATTTCACAGAATGGAGAGATCTCTGGCAAAATGCTGAGTCCCCCAAAAACTTGGATGGTACAGAGGCCTCATTTTCATTTAAAAACCCCCTCCACTTTAAATGGCGACGCCGCCCTGGCACTCAGCACGGCTAATGTCAGAGTTCCACCTTAAGGGAACTAGAAACCAGGCAGGGTGACCTTAAAAGCGACGGTGGCTGGCAGCCAGAGCGAAAGCTTCTCATGCTCCATAAAAGCGCTGGAGGAAGGCGGGCGGTGCGAGCATGCTGAGGTGGGGGAAGGGCGAGAGAGCGGGCGGGTGTGGGGGAGGGAGAAGGACAAGGAGCGAGAGAGAGAGAGAGAGAGAGAGAGAGAAAGGAAGGGCGTGAGGGAGGAAATATTTTACTATCTGTCCGTTCAGACTTGCCCTTCTGGAACCTCTCCATGCCTGGATAATGGGGAACACCCGTGGTGGCTATTTCTTACTGTCAAACAAAAAAAAAGAGGAAGAAGGAAGAGGAAAAGAACAGGCTAGTATGGTGAAAGTACCTTACAAGGGGAACCTTCTGCTCATTCGCGTCAGCAATCTTCTGCACTCCAGAGAAAAAAAATACATTGATATATATATATATATCTATAGAGAGAGAGAGAGAGAGAGAGAGAGAGAGAGTCTGTACATGTGCACAAACAAACGGAGGTTGTGATCGACTGATAACAACTTGCTATTCAGGCTCAGCAGGGGAAAAAGCACTAAAAAGATATTACCCAGCAAACATGTGCTGGCCTTAAATACGGCGTTATGGAGTCACTGGGTTCATGATCTGAGTATCATGTGTTCGCTGGCACAGGAGAGCAGGGCGGGGAAATTCAACAGATGAGGCCATATTTAGCTCTCCAGACTACATGGTCTGTGAGGACCGGGCCAAATTACCGTAGCAAATCCATTCAGATCTTATGCCGGCCGTGGGGCAAAGTTATATATGACAAATGACATGTCTAGGCAAAACCTTTAGGTACAATCGTGCTGCATGGCAACAAATGGATTATTTTATTTTTTTGTAATTTATGTTCATTGCGACTCCTTTTCTTGACTAACCTTCATAGCGTAGCAAGTGAGTCCCTTTACTGCCCCCTGATAAATCGCATAGCTTGGTGAGCTGTTCCAAGCAGGACATGAATACTAGCCTCTACGCTTTGCCCTTAACGTGAGGATAAAGTACAACCCTCAGAAAATGCAATAAAGCACAACCCAACCACTTTAAGCTATTTCATTTGATTTGTTAAAAGCGTGTTCAGGCTAAACGCTGCCGGTTCCTATGTCAGAGCCCCTTTGGCTAATGACGGTTAAAATGCCTGTTGATCCTTTACTTGAATATGACCACAGAAGCACAGTAACAGATGTATAAATGTGCAGCCAAATCATCGCTGAAATGTTACATCACAGGGAGCGACGCGCCCGTGTGTCTTGTGACGCGTTCCGTTCCCTGGCGACGCGCAGCTTTGATGAGGCCCATCACTTCTCCGAGGGCGGCTCGTCTGCCCGCGTTTACTCAAAGGAAGCGCAAACTCACCTTCCACAAACTAAGGGCCTGCTATTGCCGTTTTACGTGGCGGGCGGCACAATTTACTCATTCTGTAAGACACCGTGGGTGATTTAATTCCGAACCCGATAAATTGTCACCAGCCCAAAACAGTCACAGTTACGCAGCCGAAAGTCAGTGACAGTGGCCCAGTTTACGCACAAATAATAAACTCTGTCACAAGGTTGAGAACGAGTCCCAACTTAGCTGGTCATGATGATTTTCCTTCCCCCAACATTAAAAAACAATCCTCCCCAGACATGAAATATTTATGCATCCCAATGGGGGTAGCAAATCTCTAACCCAGCTCCACGCGCCTCTTGTTCTCCTCTATATCTTGAGATCGAGAATCGGTGTGGAGGGTAGCCATGGTCACCACAGCGCACTGCGAAACAGGGCATGGCTCCACCTAGGACACCGTACTGAATCTGCAGTGACTGTCTGTCCCCAGGGCGCCCAGCCTGTATTTACTGATGTGACTCACCAGAAAGAGAACAGCCATTGATTAGAGGTAGCTGCTCCGGCGACCATGGATGAGATGCCCTACTTTAGCCCACATATGACTCTGTCATGAACGCCTCGTATTAAACAGGCAAGGGGAAAGACAGCCTGTGTAACCACGCAGACTTTTTCCTCTAAACGGCGGAATGAGAATCCCATAAGACGCTGTCGCGCCTTTGTGCTAATGTCACAATTTCACACCTACGTTTATATCTACTTGCTCGTCTATGGCTTTTATGCAAAGTGAGTTATTTAATTCATTTGTGGAGCTGGGTATTTTATTGAATGGGATGGCAGAGCAGAGTAAAGGATGGTTTCCTCTGACCACATTACAGGACTGGGAGCTGAATCATGCCCCAATGTTGGGTGTTGAGATTACACATCATGCATGGGTTACATGTGAAGGTCATCTGGACATTTCTTTTTCCCATTGCAGTTGTCTTGAAATTGCCTATAGTGTATGAGTGTGTGTCTTGCTATGGACTGGCATCCCATCCAGGGTGTACCCAGTCTCGTGCCCTGTGATGGACTGGCATCCCATCCAGGGTGTACCCAGCCTCGTGCCCTGTGATGGACTGGCATCCCATCCAGGGTGTACCCAGCCTCGTGCCCTGTGATGGACTGGTATCCCATCCAGGGTGTACCCAGTCTCGTGCCCTGTGATGGACTGGCATTCCATCCAGGATGTACCCAGCCTCATGCCTTCCAGCCTCTCACCCACTCACCCGTGACCTTGAACTGGGTGATAGATTAGAAGATGAATGGATATTTTACTCAATGGATTGTAATGTGTGGCACCAGGCTC